GTAGTGTTTCAGTGATTTAAGAACTTGTTGCAATATATTTATTTCAGTTTACTAAGGGACCAAATTCTAAGTCTTAATTTAAAACCTCAAATCTAAACAGAATGCAGATTGTACTGTGATAAATATACGTAGAAAAGGAGAATTTAGTTTCTGAATGAGCAGAGCTGGAAGTGCTTTTTTGTTTGTGTTGACGTAACTAGTTCATTTTCTTCAGAATTCATTCTATACAGTGAGAGAAGCTCCAGCAAACCTGAACAGACGGCTATAAACCATTAAAGTGCATTATCTCATTTTTCATTTTATTTTTGATTTCATTCACTCAGTAAATACAACTAAAATGAATCAAGACTGAAAATGAGCAGAAATAATTGTAAACTTGTGTCTGCAGATCTGAACTGTGACTAAAACTGCAGCACATTTTAGTGAAGCGACTCTGATTAAAGCTACATTAAGATGTGTTGTAGATTTAACCCTTTGCTCTCCTTCCAGGTGCAGCTGGTGAATAACTCCTATAAAGGAGTGAAGTACCTGCGGCTAAGTACGCTAGCTTGCCTGGGTTACGTGGTGCTGGTCATCGACGGGCGGGGATCCTGCCAGCGAGGACTCAAGTTTGAAGGAGCCGTGAAGGACAAAATGGTAACTTCAAAAACCTGATGTTTGTTTTAGTGATCGATTAATCGACTATTTTAACTTTTAGTCAGATTTGAAAAAGTTAATTATTTAAGTCTTTTTATACGATATTAGAAATACATTGAAATATGCAAATAAATAATCCTGTTCCTTAGTGTGTACTTAATAATTTGAAGAAATTTGAAAATCTTCGTCTTTTCTGCTTGACCTAAAATCTATGCATTGTAGGGCTAATCTGTGGATTATCTTTTGGATTAGCCAATTAATAAATGAATAGCAAAATGAAGATTTTTATTTTTTTTTTTCACAGAATTTGAACCAGATAAAGCAAAAAATAACTCGCGTAAGGAGTTCTGGGTCGAACATATTTACAGACGAAGAATGTTCTTTTTTATGTTAAATGTAGATTGTATATATATTGTTATACAGTTTGGCTTAATTACTGTTATTCTTTCACCAAATGGCATTTTTTTTGCCACTCTGATTACTAAATTTGTTGACGATTAATCTGATGAATCATTTCAGCCCTAGTAAATCATTACTTACATCAAATTTAGAGATTTGTTTTGAAAAAAATTACACCAGTCAATCTGCTGCCAGTGTAGAAAATTAGATGTTGAAGAGAACGGTGAGGATAATCGGTTCCTCTTCATCCAGGGTCTGGTGGAGATTGACGACCAGGTGGAGGGTTTGCACTACATTGCTGACAAGTATAAGTTTGTGGACCTGAGCCGCGTCGCCATCCACGGCTGGTCGTACGGAGGATTTCTCTCCCTAATGGGCCTCATCCACAGACCGGACATATTTAAGGTGACAGCAGGAAATCTGAAACATTTAGTCTCTACCGTCAGATGTGTTACTGTAACTTGTGTTTCTCTAATTGACGCAGGATCAATCAGACGTGATTTCAGGTTAATTTTGTGTGTTGATCAGGTCGCCGTCGCCGGAGCGCCGGTGACGCTGTGGATGGCGTACGACACCGGCTACACGGAGCGATATCTGGACACGCCGGAGAAAAACCAGAAGGGATATGAAGCGTGCTCCGTCGCTCTGCATGTCGACAAACTTCCCAACGAGTGAGACCTCCGAATAAAACACCAGCTCATGCTTTCATAAACAACTTTTACCTGAACAGATTATATTGATACCTAAGCCTTTTTTTTTATTTCACTTAGTCTGTTTATTCACTTTACACAGAAAATATTTTATTGTACAAGTTTTCTTGAGGTTGTCTTGACAATTAAGTAAATCTGATGCTTGTTTTATATTACCAGCAGTAATACCACTAAGTGGTAACCGCTGCTGCTAATGAGTCTGTAAATAAATAAAAATGGCCGACATGCATCTCTGTGCGCGTTGCAGGCCGAACCGACTGCTGATCCTTCACGGGTTTCTAGACGAGAATGTTCACTTCTTCCACACTAACTTCCTGGTGTCTCAGCTCATCCGAGCAGGAAAGCCGTACAGCCTTCAGGTACGTTGATGAAACCTGCACTGATGACCGACTCCGGATCAGAACCTCTGGAACATCTGGAGTCGGATTAGTGAAGATTTCAGGCCTGAACGGTTTTGGAAAAGAGATTCTGGAAATAGATTTGGATTCATTGGCCTGCCATCTAAATGTTCCATCCATCCATTCATTAATCTGTTCATCCATTCATTAATCTGTTCATCCATTCAATAATCTGTTCATCCATTCATTAATCTGTTCATCCAGTTTGTTTTTTACCAGTTTGACGTTTGGAGCCTCATTTCAATAAAATATCCAACATAAATTTGTAGCAAACATTAATAATTTGAGTTTTTAAATTAGTTAGTTTTTGTGTAAAAACTCATTATCAGTATTTAGTTGCTTTTTTAGCGTAGCGCAGATTTTGTTTTAGAACGAAACATTTCAGGGCCAAATTTTAACTTTTACGTTTTATATTTTAAGATGTTTCATTTTGATGGTCTTGAATTTGTTGCAGTGCTATAAGATGAAGGAACAAATGTTTAAAAATAATTAGTTTTATTCAGATTTTTTTCAGAGATCATTTATTGATTGATTACAATCTTGTTGATCTGGACTGTCCAAAATGGCTGCCAGATATTTTGAAAGGACTTGTTTTCTCCTTGTGCATCAAACGCATCATTTAATGTATTTTTCTTTTCCTGTTTCTCCAGATTTATCCCAACGAGCGCCACAGCATCAGGTGTCCGGAGTCCGGGGAGCATTACGAGATCAGCCTGCTGCACTTCCTCCAGCAGAACCTCTGATAAGCCTCTCCACACGCCTTCCTCACCTTCCCTTCCTTCCTGGCTCTCTTTTCTCACTCTCAGCATTTATCCAAACCTGCTTCTCCACTTTACTTGACTTTATGATCAGCTGAATGCAATCTCCTCCGAACCTCATCGCTCCTGCAGAGCCGTTCACTAGTCTTACAGTCGCAGCAGCATTTTCAGCATCAAAATGTTGCTGGAATATCAGATGTTTGGTTGCCTTTCACGTTTAATTCAGGAGTAAAGCGAACGGCTGTGTTGATCTCTGCCGCCAGCAGAGGTCGCCGTTCACCCGGATCATGAAACAATAAAGCCTTTTTATTTTCTTTGTGTTGAAATCCAGCAACAGGAGCAAGTTTTGATGTTTGAAATGCTGCCTTATGTAACAGAATATACATGTGGACCATTTACAACAATGTTTTGATTTGTTGGGGTTTTTTGATTCACATTTCTGTGAATCAAAGCTCAATTTTCTGTCTCTGAATACAAACTGGTGTGATTTCAGCACCCCTGTTGCACACTTTATCATGTTTTGCTATGAGATTTGTGTCTTATGCCTGTCACAGGTTGTTTTTTATGCAGTTATTCCAGAAAAATTATATAAATTCCACATTTTTATTAGGTTGTACTATTTTAAAAAAAAAATCTAGAAATGTTTGGAGTTATCCGGGACCTGTTCTTGATCACTTGCTTTAACCTCCTGAAGAGCTTTCCTTTCTCCTGCTGCTGAGGACTTTTTGCACAGTACATTATTTACCTTTGTGCCAAGAAGCTGACCTGAATGATGATGTTTGAGACAACTGAGGTGCCTTGCAGAGTTTAGGAGCACCTGCTCACATTGAAAACAAATCAGGGAATCAGTCAGAAGACTCAACGCCTTGTTATCATCTGCTGAACTTAAACGTTATAAATGTACTCTCGGTTATTAAAGAAATAAACTGAAGTGAACAATCTTCCCCCCTCCCCCAAATCTTGCAAAGTGGTCTTTATTTAATGTTTTTGTAAGCTTTAAGTTTGTATCCATTGCTAAAGGATTAAACTGCACACATCTTCACTCCTTCCCAGTAGCTTTTGTATTAGTTATTATTTTTATATTTGCATGTTGTGATGGGGGCTTGGAAGCTGCAGTAACTGCCCACTGCTCTATGATGGCCTGTTTTCCAGATTGTAACTGACGTTAAGGGCCGAGTGATTGTGTGACTTGAAAACCTCAACATGAACTTTTAATAAATATAAATATAACTGAACCCAGATGGTCAAATACACTATAAAAAACTCGTCACTTTTTATTCCTTTCTGACACCGAATCAAACCAGCCTGGTCAGGTTTTGGGTCGGTTAAGATTGCAACATTTTTTTTTATTTACTTAGTAACTTTTCAGCAAGACATGACCTTTTTTTAAAGTAAATAGTTTCTCAATATTGATAAGATAAAAACTACTAGTTCCACTGCCAGATTATTTCACTTATAAACATATTTCTCACATGTTATAAGTGAAATAATCTGGCAGTGAAACGAGTATTTTTATCTGTAAGAGGGAATTATTGACTCAAAACAAACTTCTATGTCTTGCTGAAAAGTTAGTTTGTAAGTTTAGTCTTATTTCAGGTGTGCAAAGATGTTTGCAGAAGAAATTAACCAAAAATACTTAATATTTAAAATTACTCTAAAATTAAAGTTTTTATTATTCACAAAAAATAAACGCCTGAACAAAAGTTAACTAAATAAACCATTTGCTTTGTTTTCTGCTGCCAAACCTTTAAAAAAAAATAGTTTCCTTTTTGGTTTCTGTCTGGTTTCTACTCTGTTTGGTTTGTATTAAATATTAAAAAAAAAGTCTAGTGTTTCTACTGGAATCCACCAAATTTAACAAAAAACTATTTTACATTAAAAGACTCCAGCAAAAGAGTTTAAACTTTCCAGCATTATTTAAAGAACATATTATAAATGCACTGAGAAAAGAGAATGACAGAAAAATGGGTTTATTTGTCACATTTAGTTAAATTAAGTTTATCAGATTTAACAAACTTTATATGATCACTTGTCACCAGTTAACAGAATATATTTAACCTGTTGTTTTTTAGTGTGCATAATGAATGACTCAGAAAATGACATCCAGCTTTTATTTTCCATGTTCATTTTTATTCATACAAGTAAAAAGCATTTGAAACTGTAATCAAATGAGTAAAAAAACAACATATTAAATAAGCAAAACGCAATTAAAGGAAATAGATAACGTATAATAAAAAGATCCCTCACAAAGGGGAATAAAGTCCCAGTCAACATGACTGAACGTTTCGGCTCCTCGTATGCATTGCATAGAAATAGCAGGCGGTCGGTCAGTGCATCGGCAGACATCAGTGATGTGCATTGTCAGAGTCTTTTCAGGCTGTCAGTAGTTAAGGACCCAGATGTTCTCTGGGTTGAAGTGACTTTAGTGCTGGCGTCTTATTGCGTCTTTGAAACCGGAGCGATTTTCAGGAGAGTGGAGCTGAGGGGCCCGAATTGTCCCTGAAACATGGCCCGTCTTCCCCTGTGGCGCTGAGGGAACTTCCCGTTGAGATTTGACTCTCCGCAGCTGCTGAACCACCAACCGCCTGGGGGAAAAGCACGGATGGAAAACCTCGTTTAGCTTAAATTGTTGGGCCGATCGGAGCGATTTTTAATCTGGATTCGGGTTTGTACCTGAGAGCAGCTCGGCGCAGTTGGCGTCCGCAGCGAGGTCGTTGTCTCTGTCGGCTGTGGAGAAGGGAAGTCCGGACGCTCCGGTGGACTCGATTCCCTCCTGAACGCCAGACGAAGGGTCGAGGTCAAGGTGCAGAGCGAACTGCCTCTCCTCTCCGTCCACCTGGAAGCGGTAGCGAGCCGCCTGGCGCCGCCCGGCCTCGTCAGAGAGCTCCACCTGAAGAACGTACTGGCCTTGCTTGGAGATGGAGTGGATGTGGTCCAAACCGAGCCAGAACTCTCCTGGGAGATTAAAAATTACGCTTAGTTTTTGAATGTTGGAAAATTCTGGCTTTTTTTTTTTTTTTTACATTAAAATTTCCAAACTCACTGTTGAGGTCGCCGAATCCTTTCCTGTAGCTTTCCCAAAGCTGGTTGAAGTTCTGAGATCCATCCTGGCGTTTCTGGATGACTGTCCAGCCGCCATCTGCAGAAAAATCAGGAAAACAAATCAGTTTTTCCCCTCCTCTTTTTCTAATTTGTGTAAAAATCTCCTGATAAGACTCAGAAGTGAACAAACTCACCTGGAGTCATCTGACAGAGAACGTTGAAGGGTTTTGAGTTGTCGGGCTGAATCATGTAGACGCCACTGACTCGCTGTCCCTGTGCGAACAGATCCTGACAGTCTCTGGCCAACCCTGCAAACAAAAGCACAACATGAATCAGACTTTGTTTTTTAGCTCCTTCTTCTCCATACGTCACTTTTAACAGCCTTGTTTTTGTTTTTCTTTTTGACGTTGCTGCCCTTTCTTCTGAACTTTACTCCGTTTCTGAACGACTCTGCCAGCGAGTCAGACATCATAACTTTAAGTGCAAAGGTGAACCGTTTGGTTACGTCTTTTTTACAATTCATTAATAGCTGTTGCACTACAAAGCATTTTTGGTCTTGTTTCAAATGAAAATAACTCACAACTATCATTCCAGCAGCATTTCGGGGCTGGTTTTGATCACATAGTCTGGTTTTGATTACATGTTGATGCACATAGGTGTATCAACTTGTTTGCATTAGGAACTAAACCAAAAGTACTTGGTAATACTTTGTTTTTGCAGTGTGTGATTTAATTAAAATCTTCTCAGTAGACGTATTGTTTTTCCAGGAGGTGTGAGTTTCGACTCGCCTAACGTTTTTTAACGAGCTGAAACAGTAAAAAGTTACCTGCTTGGTTGAGCTGTGCCTCGCCTGTCAGCGCTCTCTCTTCGTCTCTCCGTCTTTGGGATTTCACCCTCTTATGTGCAACCTTCAGAAGAACAATCAGTGGAGGATTAGAAAACATTCTGGTGTTTGACGTCACAAAGCCGCAGGTTTGCCTCCAGGCGTCTCACCTTGTTCTGCAGGGCCTGCAGGTGCAGACTCTGTTTCTCCAGCTTGTCTTGCTGCTGCCTGATTTTCTCCACCAGCTGATCGATGCGTCTGTTCTGGGCCACCATCAGCCTCTGGAGGAGGGGAGAAGACGCTCAGCTTCAAACTGCTTTACTAAAATCAACTGTTGAAGCGTTGAAGCTTTGTTCCAGCTCACCTGGATGAATGAAACCCTCTCGTGTTCGCTGTCGTTGCCGTCCTTCGTCGGCTCTGTTAGAACCTCCTCCAGTCGGTCCATCCTGGACGTCATGACCTCCGCCTGCTTCTTCACCTCGCCGACCTCCAGCTTCACCTCCTCTCCCAGCTGGGAGAGCAGCCTGTACGTCCCCTGCACCTCCTTGCTCTGGGTCATCAGCGCCTCGCCCTGCTGCTCCTGCCTCCGCTCCAGCTCCGCCAGCGTGCCGTTGACGGCCCTCAGCCGGCCGCTCACGTCTCTCATCTGAGCCTTGGTCTTGTCCACATGCTCCTTCAGGCCCTGGCCGAGCTGCAGGAGGCCGTGGGCCACCACGTTCACGTCGTCCCAGGAGGCGTGCTTCTCCCGGCGGGTTCTGTCTGACGGGAAGCCTGCGCCGGTGTGGACCAGGATGGTCAGGAGGAGGACGGTGACCTGGGACGTCTTCATGGTTCTGGTCTTTGGGTTGTTTCGAAATCAGCGGTTCTTTGCGTCGAGCTCGAGTCGCTTCAGTTGTCTGCTGGTGAATGGCTTTATGAGGTTTTTATAGCTCTGAGCTGCAGCAGGCGGCGCGCCTGATTGGCTGCTTGGAGGCGGAGGAGGAGGAGACGCAGGAAGGACAGAGGAGGAGGAGGAGACGCAGGAAGGACAGAGGAGGAGGAGGAGGAGGGGAAAAAAGTTCATAGTGGGGACCTCGGCTATGACGCAACCAAACATCTGAATTTCCAGTTAAATCCACAAGCTCCAAACTTTGGGTATCTTGTGCTTTTTAGGTGAATACATTACTTTGCTCTGCATTTATAGAGGCTAAACAAAAACAGTCTTGCATCGACATTTTGAAAGAATAAGAAAAAGTTTCAGGGCTGCAAAAACACAAAATCTTACCAAACACTAAGATATTCACTACAGACCAAAAATAAGACAAAACTAACTTAAAAGTTACTTTTCAGCAGGATATATAACTAGTTTTTTTAATACAATATTAAAAATCTATTAAAAGATGCAAACAAATAATTAAAATCAGTAATTAAAAATATTTTTTTTTGCCTAAATCCAATAAAATAGCATTAATTTAGCTTATAGCAAACGAAGGATCTGCATCTAAATTTAACATCAATTCAGAGTCGGCCTATTATGTTTGTTTCTTTTATTTTATTTTTTTTAATTAACTGAATAATTATTTTCTTACAGAATTTGAACCTGGTGAAGCTAAAACTTTGACATTTGAGGAGTTTTTTTTTTTAATTTTTTTTATCTTAAATGCTAAATGTAGATATTTTAACATTTTTTTGCCAAATCATTTCCTCCAGTTAAATCAGTTACTAAATTAGCTGGTGATCTCCATAATTTATAATTTAGCAGCCTTGTGTTGGGAGTCAAAACGACTGACCTTTAACCTTTAGCCTCCATTTCATGCATCTGTCAGGACACTCGCGTTAACATCCATCAAACTCTGCAGAGTGGAAACGGCGCAGAGCGAGAAAAGCAGTGGAGCATTTTCCAGTTTGTGTGAGAAGTAGGGGAAAGTTCAACCCTGAGGCCTTTTTACTCACTGGTTCCTGACAATGAAATCTCTCTCACACACACACACACACACACACACACACACACACACACACACACACGAGGCTGACAGAAAACGCTGAGGCATGCATGCTTTGTGTTCTGGCAAGTCGTAACTGGAATATGTCTTTACTCACCATGACTGAAAGCTCATTTGACAGGATTAAACCAGCGTAGCTTTAGCAAGTAAATATTTGAGTTTAAGGCAGATTTAGTTCTGCCAATCAACTTTAAAGGGACACAAAGGCTGATCTGAATTTCACATGTTTGTATCAAATAAGATTATCATTTTTGACACCTTAAGTTTGAGAATCCCAGTGGTTGACAGCTTAATGCTAAGATGTGACTTTCATGAAGCATATTATGTTACAAAATATCCATCTTATGGTCTCAATTTAGAAGTTGAAGTCAAAGTGAAGTCACTTGTAGACAGAACAGGTTTTCTGTTGCTTATTTCTAAGTCAAGTCAGGGAAGAGTGGGTACCCCAACATGGCCGACCGACTGTACGCCAGAGATCTCTCCACTTTCAGTTCTGAATATTTTGATTTGGTTGTTTGTTTTTTTTTGTTTTTTTTTTTTTACTCAAGGAAACTAAGGCATTGTTGACCGTCTGTACTTCTAGACTGCATTTACACCAATCCTGTTTGGTCTGCTTTAGTCTAACTCTAGTTCGTTTGTCTTGAACACGTGTCAAACTGAAGGCCCGGGGACCAAATCTGGCCCACCATAGCTTTTTGTTTGGTCCTCAAGACTCCAGACGCTAAATTACAACAATCAGTCCATCCAGTTTTCTGTGATTGTTTAAAATTCACATAAAATCAGCAGATCCTACATTTTTCCTGCTAATTCATAGCTAAGTTTATTGCAAATTTTCCACAAAAACAGTCAAAAGCATTGGGTTTACTGACCACTAACTCCCACCTGTAGGTTTCAGTATCTTGCATTGAGACTCAGTGTTTCGGCCGCTTTGCAGTTTTCTGGGAGTTTGTTCCAGATTTGTGGTACATAGATGCTGAATGCTGGACAGAAAACTAGTGTAAAAACGTTAACAGCTGATATGAACTGCTTTAAGGAAAAACTGAAAGAGAAGGACAATGACTCATGACTTTGGCACAGGACTGTGGTTTTAAAAACTAATCTGATAAAACAAAAACACGTCAGGAGACGCCTGTTATTAAATAGTTTCGTCATTGTACCTACAAGCTAAGTCGTACTTTCGGTGATGAATTTTACAGAGTCTTGGTTTGCAGGGTGGAGGAAGGTTTTGTTGTCACTTTGGGAAAACTTTGCCGCTGTTCCAGAGCACGTAGCGCTGCGTGCTGCAGCTCCGCACGTACGTCCTCGAACCTGCTGCCCCCGTCAGGCAGCGCTCCAAAGGGTCCAGTTTGAGCAGCGGCAGGAATCACTTTTCCTATCCCAGCTGTGTCAGGACACAATGTTCGACTCGCGTTACCAGGCTGCGTTTGGAGCCTGGACTCGGCTGCAGCAGCTGTTTCCTGCCAGGGCTGCAGAACCGCTGGGGATGTGGAGGAATCAGCAGGACTGGACTTTCTTTTCTGGTTCTGTCTCTGGTCACCAGGGCGTCTGAAAATCATTAAACCAAACCTGGATGCTGTAAAGTCGTCTCTGGTTATGTAAAGGTTTTTTTCTTTTGTCCGGAGTTAAACTTGTGGATCTTTAACCTTTTTTTTTTAGCTCATTATCTCCAGGCATCTGGTTGGCTTTATGTGGAAACTTCAAACAAATGGATGAGTGAAACTTTACCAGGAAAATAAAATATTGGCTGAAGCAAGAGAATCTGATTCAGCTTTGCTAATCAGACTTGTTACAAAAGGTTATTGCAAAGCTAACATGTTTTTGTTGCTATTTACACCAAAAGACACTTTTTCTCCTTTTATCTTCACCAAATAAATCAAATTTAATCTGACTGGACAGAAAACATTGAGGTCTGGACTTTTAATGTTTTATATGCTTCAATCCAACTATTTTATTGACGGCAGTTCAGCATATTATGGAAAGTGTCAGTAAATCCGTCACCCTACCACCATGTTTTACTGAAATGCTGCATTTCATGAATGCGGTCATGAACATTTTCCTCATCTGCCATGATTGAAGCCAAGAGAGCTTCAGATTTTGTTCTGGAAAAGCCGGATTCGCTCTTGGAGTCGTTTCGGTCCACCACCCACTTCCAGGAGTGTTTACCACTGTCCCAAAGCTGTTTGTTTCTGATCTGTTTTTTAAATGTCTGGGTTTGACGTCAGACCCGAGGTAACTGCGCTCTAGTTAAGAAGTCAGAATTTCAACATGGCGACACACCTAGCTCTTACAAGCACATCAGCAAACATCACTTTCAATTTGTTCAGTTTAGAGTTGCAGGCGCAACATGTAACTTTGATTATTAGATGCGCTCGTCATGTAAAATAAACATGGTTTTATCGAAACGCAAAGTCGTAACTGGGTTCAGTCAGAGTTGCTTCCCAGTGGGAAATTTGACTTCGGAGGGCGTTCCAGTTGATTTGGGAAGTTGAGATTTCCCAACTTGAGTACAACTGGAATGCAGCAAAACACACTCTTTGGTTACCTAGCAACGACCTGTTGAGTAACTTGTGGTTACCTAGCAACAAGCTGATGAGTAACTTCCGCAGCAGCAGTTTAAGGTTTTGCTACTGTGCCTCATAACTGCTTAAAATTAAACAGCGTGCAGTCAAAACTGGGGATAAACGGTTCAGGTTGGCAGTATTTCAAATATTTAAAACAAAAACTAATCAATAAGTATTGATATTGACTGATGTGAAACATTTATCCTGTCAGCCATATTGGCCAGCCCTATTGATCAGTTATCTTGTAATTTAACAAGACGAATGATGACTTTTCTTTAAAGGTTGTCAGGTTCATTCAGATGGTGCTTTTCAGTAGATCTATGAAGTCATTTGGAAACTTATCTTGTATATTTACTCTGCTTATCTTGTAAACAATGAAAACACGATTATCTGAAACATTAAGGGAGGGACAAATACTTTTCCAAAACACTGAACAAGGAAACTTCAGATCTATTTATTAATGGGCAGCTTTGTGCTTAGTGGATTGGATCTGACGTGCAGAGCGACACACACACACACACACACACACACACACACACACACAGAGCAGGATCCAGACAGGCGCATGCAGAACGTGCACTGCTGGTTGTAAACAATGGATCACGTCTGTCTGTTAAAACACTGAGTGACTCATTTCCTTCTGTCCACAGGAGGAAGTTTCAGTTTTCTCAGGTCACCAGTTTGACTTTTCAGCCTCTGTTTGGTTTTATTTCAAATTCCCTTTCATTTATTATATCATAATTTTTCAGTTGTAAACCTCAAAACAACTAAGACTACACTCACACCAGGCAAATGCGACTCAAGTTAAATTCCTTGACATAAATTATATTTTTATGGCAGTCTGGACGACACCACTCTGATCTGTTCACCCCCCCAAAAAATCAGATTTGAGCCACTTCCAAAAATATCTGATTGTTTTCAAAGCGCCTGCAGTCTGAACGGTGATGCTGCATTTTATTCAACTTTTGTGAGATTGATGAGAGACATTGGTCATAATTCTGCACCAGAAGAAGACAGATCGGATGTAAACAATGGATGAAAAAAATTAATAAAAAAATTATTAAGAATGAAGTTTGTTCCACTGAAGTGAATCGCTTCACATCCTACCACTCCTGACTTTGAGTCAATGCTCCACGAAATGCTGGTGCTTTTAGTTGTGGTTTCTGTTTATTAGCTTCCTTCACCTTATTACGACTTTGTAACATTGTCATGTTGAGTAAACCTGATGCATAGACTGCAGCATCCACTATTGCTTTTGTAAACAATGCGCTGCTTTGTGACGTCAATGTTCTTCTGCAACACTGATTGCAGTCGCATCATTTGGATAGAATAAAAATATCCTTTATTGAACCACAATGGATACAGAAA